AAGTCGCTTCATGTTTCCAGCTGTGTTACAGCTCTCCCACAAAGGTGCAGTCAGTGCCTGTTGCTGCAGTCTGTGTCCATTTCAGGTGAAAGTTGTGGATAAGGAGCTCTACCGAAAAGCCTTCGAGGAAATAGTGCGCTCCCTGGATAAGCTGGAGAATGCCAACATTCCCTCGGTGACCCTTTCACGGAGAGAGGTAGGGTATGTTCCTGTGCTGTGATTCCCTAGACCCCATATTCCATTGGTAGAAGATGGATTCTAGACCATGGGGTCTGGTTCCAAAGAGCAATAATAATTTGTCTTCCAACTGGTCTCTGTTTACAAGCCCTAGAAATAGTAGTTTCTGTTTAGATGCAGGTAAATTCCATCCACAGTACCAGACTGAAACATAGGCTGTGCTGCTCCCTGAGGTGGGGTGAGAGCAAAAGGACAGTTTGTGGCCCTTGCTCTGACTTGTTCTTTGAAACATAAAATGTAAATTCTGGAGGATTTGGAGAAGGTCACAAACCTGGCATTTGCTTTGTTTTGGGGCCTACAAAAGATAAGCAAATGAGACATTTGGGGCTTCAGTTATCTTGTACTCAGGTTTCATTGAGGTTATTTGAGGGGAATGTTTGTTTTAAAGGGCCCTGATACAGTTGCCTTAGCATATAGAGTAAGCAAATGTAATCCTGTGTAGTCCTGGAAGAGATGGGATGCAGGAGCAAGGGGGTTAATCTGAGTATTTTGCTGCTTAATGATTAAACCACAGGACAGGAATTGCTGCTGGTGCTTGGCAAGGTGGACTTGGCTGATAATGGTGACTGGTATTTGTTTCTAGTTCCATTTTGAGGATGTGAAATACATGCAGCTGCAGGTGGAGAGGTTTACAATCCGCAATGGACAAGTGCCCTGCCAGTTCGAATTTATCAGCAAACCAGATGAGGAAAGCTACTGTAAGGAGTGGCTCATTGCTAATCCCAGTAAGGGCTTTCTGCTCTCAGGTGAGCTCCTCATTGTTCATCTCTTGTCAATGAGCTACTGTTGTCACCTTGTGTCTTAGTTCTCTCTGCTGTTTTAGACTCTTCTGCCTGTTTGCAGGCTTATTGGTTTAACACCTTTTTGTAATGAAGTATGTTGGGTTTTTTGCCTTCTGGCAGATGCTGAGATCACAATTGAGCTGGAGGTGTTTGTTAATAAATCTACAGCGACACACTTAAACTCTGGAGAGGAAAAACTTGAAGATATCTTGGTCTTGCACCTGAACAGGGGGAAGGATTATTTTCTATCTGTAACAGGCAACTACTTGCCGAGTTGCTTTGGGTCTCCTATTCATACGCTGTGTCACATGAGGGAACCGATCCAGGATATGTCAGCAGAATCCATTTGGAAACTTGTGAGTTTCAGACAAGATTCTCTTCTGAACCCACAAGAACCATTAAACTAGATGTTAAGTCTTTATCCTTAAAGAGCCTTCTTCCACTTCCCTGGTCCATAGTCTGAGAATGCTGATACAGCTTGTGCTCTCCAGTGCCCCGTCTGCACACCCTGCCCTAGTTCTTCACGTGGAGGAACCAACCCATTTCATATAGAGAGCACTGGAAGTAAGATCCATTTGCTCTGCCTGCATGTTTAAAAAAGGTGTGCAACTTCTAAATGTGGATCTTTTCCCCAAGCCTTTGGCTTTCTCCGCATGGAATGGAGATGTGTGTGTAGATGAGGCATGATGTAATGCTTCTATACAGCTAAGTGCACATGAAGCATGTTTATGAGAGCAGCTTGTTTCTTCTGTCTGGACTTCAGATACAGATGTGCCTGTTGTACTAGTCTTGCATGAAGTTGTGAGTGAAGCTGCAGTTTCTCAGCAAGTCGTAACTCTCAGGTATTAGCAAGAACTTGGCTAGCTGCCTTTTTTCTCCCTTTCTTTCTTCCCCCCTCTCCCCACACCTCCTTCCCTCAGACCCTGATGCCACTAGAAGTGAGTGATGATGCTGTTCCAGCTGAAAAGCCAATGGACATCCCAAAAGAGCTGTGGATGATGGTGGATCACTTGTACCGCAACGCTTCTCAGCAGGTGGGCAGCGTTCATACTGTGAACTCAAAATAACTGGTTTGCATCAGGTTTAGTTTTGAAGAGGATACTGGTAATAGCAGTTGTTGTGAACTGTGGCCAATGGTAGAGAGAGATAAAGGGCATTGAGATAAGTGGTCCTGGTGCACCATTATTTGCACCATTTCAGGCTGGTGACCTTGTCTGTGTGTAGCTTGCATCACCAGCCTCCCTCCTGCATTGCTTGCTCCTGCACAGCAGCCTTGCTAGAGCTCCTCATGGTGAGATTTGTGCTGATACTTAACAATTCAGAGAGATTTTTCTGGCCAGCTTACAACATTGCTTTATTTATCCAAATAACTTTTATTTCACTTGAGAACGACTACTGGTCTTTGCAGGAGGATCTCTTTCAGCAACCAGGCCTCAGATCTGAATTTGAGCAAATCCGAGATTGTTTGGACAAAGGAATGCACGATACCCTCCGTATCCTTTCAGTCTGATGTCTGGTAAAGCTCACTACACCTCAGTCATCAAAGCTGGAAAGGATTTGATCAATCTATTGTGCTCTGCTATGGTTTTTAAATCATTGTGTCTCGTCTTGGGGTAACTGAGCTCTGCAGTTCCTGCTACTCCCTGTTGTCAGTACTAATGCCTCCACTAATTCCTTGCAGTGTTGATGAATCATGTAAGAGTCCAACTGCCAAAGGAAACAGCTTGCTATGTGAAGTGATGTAACTCAAAGCTGTGAACAATAGGAGAGGTTTTTGGAGACTTAGGCAAAGATTAATGTTTGAGCAGAAATGTGACCAAACCAGATCACATTGTACTTGCCTCTTCCTTAACCCTCTTTGGATCAGTTGGCAGCAACCACTCGGTAGCAGAAGCCCTGCTGCTCTTCCTGGAAAGCCTGCCTGAGCCGGTCATCTGCTCCAGGTTCTACAGCAGCTGTTTGGAGAGTGCCAACAACTACCCTCAGAGCTGCCAGGTATTGCTGGCTTCACTGTTCTCTAGTTCCAGAGGGAAGGCAGGCGAACTGGGTTATGCCCAGACTACTTTTTGCTCTCAGGAATGGTGCTTTTTGGTTATGAAGGGCAGACAGGGTGGTGTTGGTAACAGATGCTGCTAAGCCATTTGTGTGTTTTCAATGTAAATGCTGGTTTTTTCTCCCCTCCTCAGATTATCTCTAACCTGCCAGCGTGCCATAAGAATGTGTTTGACTATCTCATGGCATTTCTACGAGAACTACTGAAAAATTCAGGGAAAAACCATTTGGATGTGAATATTCTTGGTAAGGAGAGCAGAATACCCCTTCTGTTGGGGTATTCTGGGGGAGTTACCCTTGCTGCCCTGCTGCTGAGCAGCTCTTCCTGTCTGCTTTATTGATTCCTCTTTTCTGTTACGAATACAGCCAGTATCTTTGGTGGCTTGTTACTTCGACCTCCTCCTGGACACCCTCCACCTGATATGACTGAAAAGAGTAAAGCTCAGCAATTTATCCATCAATTCCTCTTGAGAGAAGACAATCTACCGTGAATCTCAGATGCAGCTAATCTTATTTTTAGATATCAAATTACTGTAAAAATATTGGGTTTGTACAGTATACTGGCTTTTTTTTTTATACATATCACAGTATTTTATACAATCTATGGCTTTTGAAGGCACAGAGCAGGGAGTCTGAATCAGCTGTCACTGTTTAAGGTGTAAAGTATGTAAGATTTCTAAATAAGCTGTATGTAGACAAGCAGAAATATAAAAGCTGATACTTAACACTGTATTTTATTTATGTTGTATTAAAACTCAGACTTTTAAGTCTGTGTTATTTAAATAAAGAGTTCTCAGTGCCTTTTATCGGCTGATCTGCCTGTCCTGGATGTTGGCTGGTTTAGTGCTCTGCCCCCCTCAATGGAAAGAAGTTCTTCCTCATGTTGAGGTGAAACTTACAGTGTTTTAGTTTACAGCCATTGCTCCTCGTCCTGGCACTGGGCACCACTGGAGAGAGTCTGGCTCCATCCTCCTGGCACCCACCTTCGAGTGAAGCTGCTCAGTGGAAAAGGCCCTGGGGGTGCTGATTGATGGAGTTTAGCATGAGCAGGAAGCCCCCAGCATCCTGGCTGGTATCAGCACCAGTGCGGCAGCAGGGGCAGGGAAGGGATTGCGCCCCTGCCCTGAGCACTGGTGAGGCTGCACCTTGAATCCTGTGCTCAGTTCTGTGCCCCTCATTACAGGAGAGACATTGAGGTGCTGGAGCAGGGCCAGCAAAGGGCAGCGGAGCTGGTGCAAGGCCTGGAGCACAAGTGTGATGGGGAGCAGCTGAGGGACCTGGGGGGTTCAGTCTGGAGAAGAGAAGGCTCAGGGGGGACCTGATGGCTGCCTACAAGTGCCTGAGAGGAGGATGGAGCCAGGAGGGGCTGGGCTCTGCTCCCAGGGAACAAGGGATGGGACAAGAGGAAACGGCCTCAAGCTGCCCCAGGGCAGGTTTAGATGGAGCTGAGGAACAATTCCTGCCCCAGAGGGTGCTCAGGCATTGGAAGAGGCTGCCCAGGGCAGGGCTGCAGTCACCGTCCCTGCAAGTGTTCACACCCCGTGGAGACGAGGCCTCAGTGCCATGGGGCAGTGGTGGCCTTGGCAGTGCTGGGGTAAGGGTTGGACTGGGTGAGCTTAAAGGGCTTCCCCAACGTGGCTGATCCTATGATTTACACGCATTGACGAGATCCCCTCTCAGGCTGCTCTCCTCTGGACTGCACAGCCCCAGCTCCCATAACCTCTCCTCATGAGGGCCGCTTCAGCCCCCTCAGCATCCCTGCGGGCTCTGCTGCACCTTCCCCAGCGGCTCCTTTTCCCCTGTGCTCTTTTCCCACGGGGTGACTGTACCAGGGTGCTATTGCTCACTTTAACCGCGTTACCGAGCTCCTTTCACGCTCCTGCTATCGATCAGCCCTAACGCCCCCCGCCGCCACCTCAGCGCCCGGCTCCCCCCCCCCTCCCCTTCCCGCCAGTCCCCGCGGTGGGCGCGGTGCTCCCGTCGGGCTGCGCGCGGCCGGAAGCGGAAGTGAGTGCGCTGGTGATCATGGTGCCGCCGGGGCGGGGAAGGAGGTGCCGCCGCTGCCCGCAGCCCGGTGAGCGCGGCGGGGCCGGGCCGGCTGCAGCCGGGAAGGGGACGGGAAGAGAGGGAAGGGGTGCACGGACCCGTGCAGGCCCCGCTGGCGGCTCTCGGCGGGGCAGTGCGGGCCCGGCCCGGGCGGGGGGAACGCCGCGGTTCGGCAGGGGACACCTTCCCCGGCCCGCGGGCGGGGGCCGTGGCGCAGGGCGCTGGGCCTGCGAGAGGAGCGGGGGCCCGGCCGGGGCAGAGCCGCCTGACTCCCCCCTTCCCCTCCCCTCCCGCCCCTCCGCCCGTCCTTGTGTTGCAGATGAGTCGCTACGGGGTAAGCGCACGATATCGCACTGAGAGGCGGTGAGCCATGGGGGAGAACAGTCCCGAAGGCAACGTTATCTACTACGAAGTGGAGGAAGACGATTTAACCCAAGATGACAATATGATGAGGTTTGCTGATAAAAACGGGCTGGTTTCTTCGTCGTCTGGGACGGTCTATGACAGGACAACTGTTCTGATAGAGCAGGACCACAGCGTGCTGGAAGATGATGAGGATGAAGGACAGTGTGGTGATCACTTGCCTTTTTTACCAGAGGGTCATGAAGAAGGATTTCATTTAATAGCAGATCATGAAGGAATGTCCCAGGGTTATGTGCAACACATTATTTCTCCAGATCAGATTCACCTGACAATAAATCCTGGTTCAACTCCTATGCCAAGAAATATCGAAGGAGCAACGCTCACCTTGCAGTCTGAATGCCCTGAAACCAAGCTTAAAGAAGTAAGTAGCTAAATATGATTCTGAATGTGATTTGTGTTGCGAGTGCTTTTCACCTGGTGGCCTTAAGTGCATTGAGAATGTGGGGCTTTTCCAAAGCTGTTTGCTGAGAGGCAGTCAGAAGGTTCCCTTGTGCTTAAAGGTTACTGTGGAGTGGAATGAATTACACTCCATTAGATCCACTGGTATACTCAGTGATAGTCATGCTTTGTGCTCTTAGGCAGAGCTGCTGCCCACAGTGAAAAAAGCTGCGAGTGTCATCAGTTTTCACTCAGATTTCCTGCTGCTCGCTTGTGAAGCAGTCAGGAAGCGCTTTCTGACATGTGGTGACATGCTAGACAGCAGGAGAGCACGGTATTGAAACCACGGTTATGTTAGTGGTGTGTGGACCTGCAGAGGACATTTATTATTCTTTTGGTTGGGTGATTATTTCCTGTCCTCACAGATAACCCAAACTCTTGTTTTTCCTTGGTTAACCATGTTCTCGAGGCCTTGGCTGCACTTCCAGACTGGTGGTGGTAGTTGAACTGTGAAAATAAACTGAGGAAAATAAGGGAAGCTTTAAAGCAGCATCTGCTCTTGTTTGACCTCTTAAGTCAGCTTACACATATAAAATGGCAGTTACTTTCAGTTCTGGTTCCCTAATGGATTCTACCTGCATGCAAAGTGCTGAGGGCGTATACTTGGCATTCTCACTTTCTAGGTGCAAAAGCAATGTGAAGCTGACTGTAATATCAACACAGCGATGGCTTTGTGCTCCCTTTTTGGCCCTTCCTAGTTAAATAAAGGATGATCTGTACAAATGTCCCTGCCGGTGTCAGTGGTGGAAGTATCAACTACTTGTGTAACTGATACTGAGTGTAAGAGAGGATGGCAGAAATGAGACCCTTGCTGAGAAAGGAAGCTGGGTTTGAATGCTGAATAATTCAGGTTAGCAGGGAACTTTCATTAGCACTCTCTTGGCAAGGAGGAAATGGGGCTGGAGGAGGTTGGTTCTGTAATCATGGAACTTCTGGACTGAGGTTTGTCCAATAAGCCCATGTCAGTGTAAGGAGCTCTGCTCATTGTTGTTCAGATCAGCAGCAGCTGTATCCTGTGTTCTGAGCTGCTGAAATACTTGATTTTGGTATGTTAGTCACGTCAGTACTTTCCTTTTTGTAGGATAATAAGCTTGTAATCAGTAGTGTCTGAGAACAGCGTGTACTGGCTCAACAGGCGTTGGTGACTGCATGTGTAATTAAACTGATTTTATTCAGTCACCTCCCCTATTATTAAAAAAGGGAGCTTGTAAGACCTGGGATTGCCTAATGAAATGAATTTATTTTCCATGTCTTGAATTAGTTTCCTGGAGTGGAGCGGGTGTCATTTGAGTGCAGTAGAAATAGGCATAGGTGACACTCGTCCATCTTTAAACCCCTCTTTGGTCCTGCTGTTCCAGATGCTTGGTGAGTTGTCTGGAGGTGGGGAAGGAAACATTCCAAAGCCCTCAGACATTTGGCTCATCTCTGAAAATCCAATTCTTTGGTACTTTGAAAGCGTCTGTCACGGTTCTAACACTTGAGAGAACTCTTCTAAAGCCTTCAGTTTTTGGGGCAGTGTTAGACATCTATGAAGCAAAAGATAGTTTTACACTGCATTTATTACCTTCAACTTCCTCTTGTTATATTCTGCTTCCCTCATTGTAATTCTGTGGGTGAGAATAAACGTGATCAGAGTCTTGTATTTCAAATGCATTATTTTGTTCAATGATAACATAGAAAAAAGGAGCAATGGAAGGGGAATCTCCTCAACTCAGGATGAGTTAAGGGCAAACTGAGCAGTTGAAGTAGACTTTGACACAGTGTGACAGGTTTTGCTTTTGCCACTCTTTTGATTACTGGACAATTAGTTCCTACTTCTAAGTTAATGCTTAATCACAGCTTTCCCAGCATCCCCCTGGTGCATCTTCCTGGGAGAGACAGCACATTGTCCTTTGTCTTCAAAGCAGCTTGTTTCTGTACTCCTCATACCCATCTGTGGCTTCTCCTGTGCTGCCATGTGCCTCTTTTGTTGCTGCAAGTATACAGGGATACTCTTGAGTATTTGCTGCTGTAACCGTGAGGCTTTCGTGGTCAATAGCTACATAATTTGTGTGTATGACTGGTGCTTGTCTGATGTGCTAATGTTCCTAATGGGAAAAGAGAATTAAATGCTTTACTGCTTTAATTTTGCCTAAAATGTGGTGGCAGCACTGCTTCTGTCTGCAGTATCCTTCTCAAAATGACTTAGGAAATAACAGACTTGGCCTTTGAGTAAAGGGGAAGGGCTGCAAGGCCTCTGGCCTACTTCAGGCCCTGAAACTGAAAGTGGTACTGCCATCTTCCTTTAAAGATGTGCATTAGCATCTAGGAACCAAATCCTTCATCTAGAATTAGTTCTCTCCTTTTAATTCACTTTCTAGACCTAAATAGGAACACCTAGAAAGCTTCACAGACTCCTCACTTGATTTTTAGGTAGTTCAGATCCCTTGTGCATTATGGGGAGTACAGTGGAGAACATCCCATAGTGCAGCATGGAAAGTGTTAATTTCCAGCTGCCTTAAAACTGGAACAGGGAAGTTGACTTCAGCCCTGATAGGTGAATTGGACTGATGGGGTGATCACTGGTGAAGATAATGTACCTCTTCTCCTGTAATAAAATGTACTTTCTGACCTTGTGGCTGTCTCTTATTGGTCTCTGCTCTTGGGTTTTGGCTGACTCAACACAACTGAACCTCGAAGTGATGTTGTAACTGTATTGTAACGTTGGGGTATTTAGTGATAACTTCTACCTCATTTGAGGTATAAACCAAGGGTAAGTTGCTTTATAGGGGAATCACCATTTCCTTCTCCATATGGTGCTGTTTGTCACGGTATCAACAAGAGATTGTAGCAGAGATTACTCAACTCCTATATACTCAGATTTGCTAAAGCATTCTTAAAGGGGTCCTACTGGCAATTTTGACCCCTACAGAACAGGTTGGAAGGAACTGAGACTATTTATTTCTCTTTCCTTATGGAGAGCTTCCTAGAACCCAAATTATACCCAGGAGGAGTTGCCAAGTCCTCTCTTGGGCTCTGTAATCACTTTTAGATGTTAAAGTTTCTCAACTGTAACAGTCAAATGAAAGGCTGATAATTAATGTTCAAGCTAATTTTATTCAAGCATATCAGATAGCTTATTCCTTTTACTTCACAGGAGAGAATGAGATTTAATTAAGTGTTAGGACTGGCACACTGGAAGCTTCTGCGTGGTCTCTCTGCCTGTTGCAGTAGCTGGAAGGCTATGAAATCAAGTTCAGTGTAAAATTGCTTCCTGGTGATCCAGATAGCTGGCTGAGAAATCCCAGTGGATTCAGTACACTTCAGGAATTGCCTGTTTCAGTAACCATAAGAGAGAGCAACAAAGCACAGTGGAGGCTGCTTTTGACATAAAATGAAGTAGTAAATGGACTGATGGGTAGGCCATATGAGATGGTGAAAACCGTAGCTCTCATTCAAGGTGTTAATGGAAGTTCAGCACACAAGGCTGTGCTTTTGAGGGTCAGGTTGTGAACGTATATTTTCCCTTGTCTTCTTCCACAAGTAAGTAGCTCTGCTGGAAGCACCCAGGTGAAAGGCAGGCACTCTATGGGAGTAGCGGATAGGTTTGATAGCCTCTTAGCATCCTTTCCTACTGTTTTAGCAGGTTTTTAGCTAGAAACATTTCAAATCACATTTTTCCTTTCCCCCCCTCTCCTATTAGATGATTATTGTATCAGGTCAGCCTGCTTTCCAACGTGTGCCACCTCTTCCTCAGGTGGTGAAGCAGAAATACTGAGTTATCTGATCATTAAATGCTCTTTTTTCCTTTGGGGTCAAAATCTCTTCCATTGTCTTTGATGTTTAACTGCAGACCTACCCTGTCTGGATTCCAGAAATGCTTAAGAATGGTTAAGCATGCAACATTTTGTCTCTTAGGTGAAGAGGTACCAGTGCACCTTTGAGGGCTGTCCACGTACCTACAGCACTGCCGGAAACCTGCGCACTCACCAAAAGACCCATCGTGGGGAATACACTTTTGTCTGCAATCAAGAAGGCTGTGGCAAGGCCTTTCTTACCTCCTACAGCCTCAAAATCCATGTCCGAGTGCACACTAAGGAGAAGCCTTTTGAATGTGATGTGCAGGGCTGTGAAAAGGCATTCAATACACTGTACAGGTAGGAGGTCTCTGCTTAATTCCTCTCCTAGACGTGGCTGTTGTTCTGCAGATTGCATCTGCTTTTTGTTTGGGTCTGGATCACAGAAACATAGAATGGGTTGGGTTGGAAAGGACCTTAAGATCATCTGATTCCAACCCCCCTGCTATGGGCAGGGACACCTCACACTAGACCAGGTTGCTCCAAGCGCCATCCAACCTGGCCTTGAAATTGTCATGCTTCTTCCAGGTACAGATGTGAATATAAATCTTCCCAAAATATGGAAATGCTGTGCCAAGAGTAGGATGACAGAATCTATGATGACATACTTGGCTTATTTATATTACAGTAGTCTTGAATCATAGAATCCAGGGTTTTTGGTCTCATCCTTTTTAGGCTGAAAGCACATCAGAGGCTTCACACAGGGAAGACATTTAACTGTGAATCAGAAGGCTGCAGTAAATACTTCACCACGCACAGCGACCTGAGGAAGCACATTCGAACACACACAGGAGAAAAGCCATTTCGGTAGGTCCTTGGGTGGCCATTTTTACCTCTGTGGGGCTTGTGTAATGGGCTGCCTGTGCCAAAAGGCAGCTCTGACTGTCCTGAATGAGAAGCTGTTCTTGGGAGAAAAGAGCTGAAGGCGGCTGGCATTCAAGCATGTTTGTTCTAGAGCTCCCTCAGCTGCCTGGAGAAGCGGGTGAAATGGCTGTCTTCAAAGACAAGAATAGTCGAGCTATTTTTCAAACCTGAATGTGTGCCACAGCGAGCATGTTCTTAAAACATCTTGCTGCTGCTCTGCTGTGATGCAGGGTTTCTTCCATGAAGGAGGCCCCCTTCAAAGGCTGATTTCATGCTTGGATTTTACAGTCCTATTCAAAGCCCTGCTGTGGTCTGTGTAGCATGCCCAGGAGCTGTTGGGAGATGCCTGATTATTAAACCACATTAGCTTAGGCCTGTTTTTCTGAGTCCTGGGACTATTGCAAAGCATGATCTAAGGTTGTAACTAACTTATCAGGTAAGCCTGATGCTATCTTTTCTCTGACACCTCTTTCAGGTGTGAGCATGACGGCTGTGGAAAGGCTTTTGCTGCAAGCCACCACCTTAAAACACATGTTAGGACACATACTGGTAAGTCCCAAGGGTTTGTTTCTTTTTGAGTTGAACTTACTCAGTTTATATTAACTCTCAGAATCCTAATATGTATTTACTCTCATATATAATATGTGGGTGACACCACACTAGGTGGTGCAGTTGATATGCTTGAGGGAAGGGCTGCCATCTGGAGGGACCTTTGCAGGCTGCAGGAGTGCACCCATGTGAACCTCATGAAGTTTAACAAGGCCATGTGCAAACTCCTGCACCCGGGTCAGGGCAGTTCCCAATATTCCATTTATGCACTTCCATGTATGCTTGACAGGTCTTGAATTTCATTAACATGTTTCACAAACGTATCACTAATGATGCATCAAAATGAAACGTGTCAATTCACATGGTAAAATGGAAGCTTTTACCTGCAAGACTCCAAAGAATGCTGAATGCATGATGTGGCATTAAATAACCTTGTTTGTATGAAATGTTACTACTCTCCTGGGTGCTTGAAAAGTACATGTCTGATACGATGTTTTTAAGTCTGTTACATGTGTTTTGCCCTGCCTACAGGGGAGAAACCCTTCTTCTGTCCCAGTAATGGCTGCGAGAAGACTTTTAGTACACAGTATAGTCTCAAGAGTCACATGAAAGGTCATGAGAAAGGACATTCCTATAATGCACTTCCAAATAACAACGTATCTGAGGTTAGTAGCGTTTCTTCCTAATGCTTCTGTGTTAGGAGATGAAACCATTACTGGGAGGAAGAAATTCTTTGGTCTAAAGGTATAATGTTTAAGACTGGGATTTGCAAAGAGAATTGTGAGTACTTGGTGCCCTGTCTCCCATGGGTGCCTCTGTTTTGAACTGAGAACTCAGGTTAAGTCCTGCACTTGCTGGCATTCAGGGTGGCAGTGTAGGGTTTATTCTCGTATGCCGTGTTGACAGCGTGTTGAGAATAAACAGAGGGATCAGTGTTTCCCAAACTTCTTGCATGGTATTTGGTGAGCAGGTTTTATTTAGAAAAGCTCATTTAAATTGGTCTGTTCATTTTAATCACATTAACATTTATGCTCGGGCTGCTCCTGCTTTGAATATGTCAAATGCTGACATGAGTTTATAGGCAGTTAGACGTGTTATCATGCTTTCCTTGTAGGTTCTTGCTTTTTGATCACAACTATGTAACAAGTATGTGAAGTGAAAGAAATAACTGTTAAGGGCTAAACTTTTCATTTTCTATAGGCTGATTTGTTGTTTAAATTTTTGGAAGCAATGTGAAAAGGATGGTAAGAATCCTTGCTAGCTGCTGAATCTCCTTTGCTTAGTAATGTTGCTCCTTTGAGTTTAGAACTGAGATTTGGATCACATACGGGTAAAAAATCTGCCTAAGCAGAGTTGTATGTCTAGCAAGTAATGAAAAACATTTCTGATGCTACTTCTAAATATGCAACTTCATTTCTTTTTCTTCTTTACAGGATACAAGCCACTCTCTTTGTCTGAGTGACTTAAGCCTCATATCGACAGATTCAGAATTGCGGGAAAACTCTAATCCAGTGAGTTACTGCCCTGGAATTGCCTCACCCATCATTTGAGTTTGGTGTTTCTCTGGCAGGGTGCTTGTCCTGTCAACTAGAACTCAGCAGAGTAGATATGTGTGGCTGGTGGATTCTATTTCACTTGTTTGGGCCTCCAGCAGGCTCTGCTTCAGGCTTTCATTTCGCTACTGCCGATGGAGGAGATGAGTTCTTCCACAGCATAAGTGACTTTGGATAGGATTGGTTTAGATGTACTGAATGCTGCTGCTTTATTTCCTGTGGCACAGGGCAGTTTGGAGGAGGCTCAGTCTTGACAAAAATGTGGCTTTTACGCACCCTATTGAGCCTGTAAATTGACAGACATATTACTGCTGTTCTTTTGGGAATGTTGGAACAAACCCCCCAGTATTTCAGCATAGTTGAGTGAAAGAGAGAGATTTTCCTCCAAAGTACTGCAGTGCTTAATTCAAGCAGGTTTTTAAAGGTTCTGCATCTGATTTTACCGTGACAGTGTTCTTATTGATAACTCTTGACTGAGCTTAAATGTGACATAGTGAAATTGAATACTGAGGAGACAGGGTCATTCTGATGTGTTTTGATGTGGAAGCAGCATACAGTACTTTGATATATCCTAGAGCACTGTGGATGACAAGCAGTACATAGTCTAGGGTCTAATCTAAGCAGAGCCATTTTGTTTCTGCTCCAGAAATATTTCACAGAATAGCCAAGAACAAATCAATATCTGTTTCTGACAGAAATAAGGGTTAAACAAAGTGTGGATGCAGAAGAATGTGTTTTCCTTTTGAATGACTTATTTGTGTGAGGATTTGCTCATTAGGTTGGTAAATTCATTGTAGGTAGTAAAAGCTCAGTGGTGTTTCACACTAGGGAAGTGAAATACGTTGCCTTTCCTGGAGGTGGCTGATTATTTGGAGAGGTACTTCTGACATTCCTATACAACTTGACTGGGACTTGTGCAAAGTTTATGGAGACCTGAGATGGAACATTACCTGATGCCTTCCTCTGTATTTTGTATTTGCCAGACACATGGACAAGACCTTAGCACAATCTCACCAGCAAGCATCTTTGAGTCGATGTTTCAGAGCCCAGATCACACTGCAAATCAGGATGACTCTCAGCAGACAGGTACAGATTGTATCTGTCCTATTTCAGGAGAGCTTTTTAACAGTTTTCTTCCTCTGTACTTAATTTAGCATTTCAGATTGAAGATTGCTGATCCACATAACTCTTAAGTAGCAAACAGAACTTTTAAATTCAGTATTGAAATGTATTCATAGAGGGTGTAGTGCTGGGATGGTGATGGAGGAACTGACAGAACATTTACAGCATGCTGTCATACAATGCTGACACTGATGCTCTGGGGCTTTCCACGTAAGTGCTTTTTCAAGCTTCCTCACTTGATGTAGCTGCCCAAACTGGCTGATAAAAAGGCTTCTTGGAGCTAATGAGGCCGATCAGCTTGTGTGTAGTAGTGAGTGTTACTGGCTTCCTAAATTTGGACTTTTTGATTTCACTGCCTGGTGTTAGATGGTTTTGAGCACCCGTCTGAAGATGGGAAGTGATAATGCCTGACTTAGCAACTAGCGGAGGGATTTCTGCTAAGTTCATTGAAAAATCAGATCTTATGGGAAGTGATGTATTTCTGTTTTTCCATGTTTCTTTCGGCAGCTGCCTTGATTGATGGTTTCAATGGCGACGCGGACTCTGTCACTGCTGTTCCGCCTTCTGCAGGAGACTCGGCGTCATTGTCTCTTCCACTTGTACTGCAGCTTGGCATCTCTGAGCCTTCCCATTCAGCACTACAAGCCTCAGCAGCCCCTGCTGCTCCCTCCTCCATAGGAACCAGCTCACAGCAAGCTGCATTTGGAAATCCTGCAACTGTTTTACAATCCCCAGAAGTGCCTGTTCCTCACAGCACACAGTTTGCAGCCAGTCACCAAGACTTCCTGCAGCATACTCAGACCCCACCACAGCCCCTCGTGCAAGGACTTTCAGTGGTTGCTGGGGCATCAGCCCCAACACCATCAAGTGCCACTGAGCCCCTGCCAGCTGTCGTTCAGACTGTGCCTGTTGGTGCGAACTCTGTTCTGACCAGTAATCCAACTATAACAATTACTCCTTCTCAGAGCACTGCTATTCTGCAGTCCAGCATTGTCATGGGAGAGCAAAACTTACAATGGATCTTAAATGGTGCCACTGGTTCTCCGCAAAGCCAAGAACAAATGGTTAGTATGTCTACTACATGCAGTTGGAATCACCTCATTTCCTCCTAGAGTCCTGTTGAAAAGGAAGAGGATCAAACCTGTAACTGTAAGATAACTGTAAGAAACCAGGATGCAGTGTTGTATAATGCTTATCATGTTAATATACATAAATATGCCCCAATGCAGCTCCTTAAAGAGATAAGGGATTAGAAAATAGATTTAGATCTTTAATCTCTTCCCCAGTGACAGACTTGACACAGCAATCAGTTTGGTGTCAGACAGAGTGCCACACAGCCTGAGAATGTATGTGGGTTTAAATCTACTACTTTTGACAAGCAGAAGCACAAAAGACTCTAAAGTTTGTGCCTAGGTATTTTGTGATTTGTCTTGATGTAGCCTGATAAAGATACTGAAGTTTTCTAGGAAAGCAGAATGGTTCTGGTTCTCCATTAAATCTGGGTAGCTGAGACTAAAAGTGTTTTATCATTCAGAATACTATTGCCATCTGTGGGCCTTCTTAGCTGCAAATGGTCAAGCGTCAATGGCTGCGGGTACAAGCAGGATGAGCAAGTGCAGTAGTTGTTGAATTCAGTTGTCAGGACCCACAAACTATGTTAACAAGCATGTGGTGTGGGGAGTCATTGCTTCTCATCTTAAGGACCTCTGAAATAACACTCTGAGTTTTGGGATAGCCAGAACATAGCACAGAACCAAGCTAAATGTTATAATTCATGATTAGTTTCCTGTGTGTTCTCTTTGGAATATGTTCATAGCTGTTTCTTTTGCTTGAAGCTGCTTAGAATTTGAACAGTGGAATTGGAATCAACTCGCACGTTCTCTCTTCTTTTTCCCTTTTCTTTACAGCCACAAGTTCCAAAAGTAGTAGAAAAGGTCTTTTTTACCACTGCATTACCAGTAGCTGGCAACACAGGTAAGCTGGACACTGATCTTACTTCTCTTTCTCTCTCTGTTTCTTTGTGGTACTGTTGGCTTGACCAGCATTTGTGGTGCATTTATTGCTTCTAGAAACGTTGAAGAAAATCCTTTCATATTTCTGCCTTTCTGAGGTTTTCCATGCACTCAGGGGCTTGTGCTGAGATGTGTCCCATAGTAATTTCTGTGACAACTTGTGAATTAGATCATAAATTAGATCTGGTGTTCATAAAAGTGGTATTTTAATGGAACTTGTATAGAGGAAAAGACAGAAATGCAGGGACATAATCTGTCTTTTTGTTCTTTTGAATGAAGACATGGAACAGGTAATAAATTCGTAAACTTCATCAGTTCTTTAGCAATTGTTTTTTAGTGAGCATTATGCATGAGGTTCATCAAAATGAAACAACTGTAGAAGTTCTGTTCCTACACTGTTGTTATATTGCAAAGATGAATCAGAGTCAAGAGAGATCAGGTAAGTTTAAACTGTAAATCTTAAAGAAAGGAAGCCAAGCAGAGCAGCATAGGAAGAGTGAGGAGGAAGCATGAGAAACAAATTGGGAAAGGAAAGCAGACTAGAGAAAATGAACAGGAAGATGCTTGTGCTGGTGTCAAGGAGCAGCATTGCTGGTGTAATGTTGTATCATCATCTTCAAAGATCGGTACCTAGGGACCGGGGTATCTGAATGCCACTCTGTATTAGATTTGGTGCTGTAGAAGTTCTAGTGCTTGTCAGAGAAGAGGCATAGTGTGCTGAGCCTGGGTTCAACCTGAACAGGTTGCTCATCAACAGAGAGTTCTTGCCAGTTTTCTTACTTACCATCTGCTAGAGTTATTCCTTGTGCTTGGAGAAAGTGAGCTGTGATCTCTGCTGCAAGCCACATACAGTCTAACTTAACAAAGAGGATTTGTCTCTCCCTGCTGTGAAATGATGTAGTTCTGTTGTGTTTTGTCTCTGTTTCACCTTCAGGAAACCCTGTTCAGCAGATTGGTCTCAGTGTTCCTGTCATTATTATAAAGCAGGAGGAGGCCTGCCAGTGTCAGTGTGCCTGCCGAGACTCTGCCAAGGACAAAGCCACTGTTAAGAAGGAATGTTCCTCACCTGATTCAAAAGCTTTGGAGCAGCCAGCTCCCCAGCTGCAGCCTCAGACCTTTTCTTCCTCTTCTCCTTCATGCGGGCAGAGCAGTCAGATAGTTAACCCTCCAGACTCACAGACTGAAACATTAAGTGCCATGGATGTATCGGACTTCCTGTCCCTCCAAAGCCCTGAAACCCCATCTGATATAATTCCAATCGAAGCACTACTGCAGGGTGAGGAAGAAATGGGTTTGAATAACAGCTTCTCTAAGTGAAGATGTTCCAGATTTTCCTTTGCACCTGGAGGGTAAAACCCTCTCCTTTAGAAGCAGAAACTGAAGGATCGATTCTTTTTCCTTCCTCTGTGGAAGTTTTGTGGCTTATTTCTGCTTCACAGATGTCATCTTAGTCACATCCCAGGTACATCCATCTTTGAGAATCTATCTAAAAAGAAAAGGTAAAAAAAAACTAAGAAAAAAAGAAAAAGCTAAGTTATATATGAACTGTTTTGGCTGCACTGTCTGTCACTTTTGCTTGTCATATGTGAACACAGAAGTTAAGGTTACTCGTGTGCAAAAAGATTCTAAAAAGAAAAGGGGGGGGTTTAGTTTGTCTCCAATTGCACATCGCTTACGTTTGGGATTAAGGTACTGGCAGCAAGTGGGTCTTTGTTACAACTCCTTGGGTCTATGATTTTTCTTCTGTCTCTTTTGTCTGATACTAACCATGCACTATAAGGGGAGCCCAGGAAAGGAGTTTGCTGTAGTAGAAAATAGCATTATTGTAGAAGATGATTTATCTGCAATCGTATTGGAATGTGATTGTCGCACCACTGAGTTGGGAGCTTTGTACTAACGCTGTTACTAAAGCCTACAGAAACTTTTGGGGAGTTTATTTCAGAAGAGCACAAGTACCTTGTGCTCCTGATGGATCTGTTCATTTAATTGCTTTAGGGCTTCAAAGGGTGGTGGCAGACACTGTTTCACAAGGTGGAAACACAATTGGAGCCTCTGCTTACTCAGACTCAAGAGTCTGTTTCCTTTGCCTCTCTTTGAAGGATGCAGTGAGTCCCAGGTGTAGTTAGGTCGGTGCCTGCTGCTCTTTTGATTTCTTTGGCTCAGAACCAAGTCATCCTCTTAATCCCCATGACTGTTTAATCAGGAGCATGGTGCCTTTGCTGGTTACTCTCAGCTTTTGTCAAGAGCAACTCTTCAGAATGATTCAGCCAAAATTCAGTTTGAATTCAGTGGGTCTGTCCTTCAGCTGTCCACAAACGCTTCCCTTGTTTTCTGTTAAGCTCTATGATTCCTGCCTGAATCTGCCTCCAACCTACTGCAATGCCAGCTTTTTGTGCACGGGGCTATTTCTTGACTAAAAGAAGTTACACGACGTAGTAGTTTTTCATATCAAACTGAAAGTCTATATTCTAACCTACTCAGGGTAAATAAACCACAAACCCCCCTTCCACCAAAAAGCCTGTAATGTTGCAATAAATGCAGTCTCATTCTAAATGGTTTATTTATGCTGCATTATTTTAAAAGATGTAATTTTATAGTGTTTTATCCATCTTTCTGGCTTTGGCTGTCAGTCCTTTTGTGTTAAAGGAAAGAATATTAAATAGTCTTTATTCAGTTTACAGTGTTGTCATTAGTGAGATACAAAGATAATGACTGTAAGCCACTTAATGCGGAGTGTCTCTGTGCACTAAATTTAGGAATGCGAAATCCCAGTGGATAGAGGTCTCTCACCCTTTGTACTTGATCAAAGCTGCTCTCTGTACCTGCTGGTGGGGGAGAACCCTCTGGCTGCAGCCAGACCTCCCCAGGAAGTGGGATGATGAGCAGGTTTTTTGACCCTCTGGTGATGTGCTTTGTGTAGCCTTAGTGAACGTGCTGCAGCAGCATGGATGGAATTGGCTTTTCACCTCTGACAACTCCTGCTTGTGAAATGCAGAAGGGTGACACTACATCCCATTAGGGTGAATGTGAGGGAGGGGAGGCTTTGTGCCTGGGAAGTGTCATCTTACTGTGCTAGGGCAAGGTGCTCCCTTTTGGTAACTGCAGTGATGAGCTTGGGGCCACCAATGGAACTGTAGCATGCTGATTGTTTCCTCTCTGTTTGGTGTGTGTTGCAGTGGGGATGGGGGTCCTGCAGCAATAAGGTCTGCATCCATGAAATGCAGATTAAGAGTATTCTAGGTTTGTCTCTTGTAATCCCTAGAGGGTAGTGAGACAGTGGTCCTTGGTTGTTTTTTTTTTTCCTCCTACATCTTAGTTTTGTGATGCAGTTTGGTTCCATGGCAGCAAGAGCTGTTCAGAACACAAAAGAAACAGTCTCAAGCCTGTGTGGCTCAGACGTCCTCACAGAGATAATCTCCACCAGTGTAGAGCTCCACTTTGGAGGAGTGCGAGTGGTGCCTGGAGCTGTGTGGGATGTCTCTGTGGGGCACAGGCCACTGCAGAGGACCTTTTGTGTTTGAGGGTGAGTGGATGCGTGTGTGTGAGAAATTCCACTAACACAGGAGCATGCAGGTTCCCCTGGAGTTGTGGGGTGATGGATACAAGGGTACCAGATGTGGCCTGGATTTAGCATTTTCTGAGCCTTTCTGTCCTACAGGAAGGTGTTTCTCTGTGCTGATTTTGCTGCTCGTGACTTGGTTCACCTCAACCACCTTTCCATTGGGCCCGATAACTTCAGAAACTGCTTTGTGGCAGAAGTGAGTAAAAGAATCTACCAAAGGCTTTGAAATCAGAAGCTGATTTGGAAGTGTGATTGTGTGCAGCACCTTGCTGCTGCCATCCTCTCTGGGTGGGTGTCAGCAGTTAACCTCTCTGCTGTTTTCTCTTCACACCTAGTGTTTTCTCTTGTTGTGTTCCAGGATAAGCAATGTGTTCCATGTTCATGCTGGCTTTTAGGTGCACTGGTTTTGCTGTTACTCTCTTGTACATGCATCAGACAGGCTGCAATTTAGGTGAAACTAATTAGATGTTGTAATGAAGCGAGAGCAGTGTGATGATTCTGTGACTGCATAGGCCACTGCACCACGGTCTATACATCCCACCTGATTGTGTTGTACAGATGTGTGCTTTTGTTGCTTCATTGATGGTCTGCTTTCCAGAGTGTCCCATGCTGCATGTAGCTGATGTGTTTCACAGTGGACATGCTGCATCTTCAGGCCTTGTACTGCTGGGGTGGTGGTTAATGCGCTTTAAAGGGAGGAGAATGTGAGTAGCTGGCAAGAGAGGGCAGTTGCCCTGAGACTCCTCGATGCCAGAAATGTCTTCCTCTCGTTGCCCCAGCATTTAGCATATTCACAGTAACATTGTTAAAGGAAGGGGGAGAGTTTCTGCTGCTGTAGATCTGGTAAGACACTGGGTTCCCAGGATGATGGGACATGTTCTGTTAATACGCTGGAGCCTCTGAGGACAACGTGTCCTCCCTCTGCAAAATCCACCTTTCACATCCCCCTTCAGTTATCAGTCAGAGAGCAAAGCTGCACTTCTCGGGGTCCTTCTGTGTTAAAGGTTTGGCTGTTTGTGGCTTTTGGGGATTTTCTTGGTTCTGTACAGTTTCTGGATGGGTGCAGAAACTTAAACATACCGAATGGGTCGAATTGCCAACATCGGTCGCTCTAGTCACCAAGCAGTGACCCAGGGAAGCAGACTTGGTGTACAGTTGAAGGCTGTAAAGTTGTTTTTTGTGCTTGTAGATGGTAGAGGGATGGAAAATCAGCACTGTTTAAATGCTGGTACTGAATTATATAGAACAAAAGTACGAATTGGGCACTTGTATAATGCTGACTGTGTCCAGAAAGACTAGCTCACAGAACCTCATACTGGTATCTAAAATGCACTTTAGGTTATTTTATCTTTAACCCAATTGCTGCAATTTCTTTTGTATATATACTTTCACAAAGTTTATTTTTGCTCTGAGTAAAAGTTAACAGGGGTGTGCAAAGAAGAGCACTTAACTTGGTGCAATACTTGTAGCTAAAGATCATTGTCCCATGTGGTCTGTCTGTCTGTGTCTAACTGAGTTATGTGTAGTAATGGGCTCGGTGATGTACTTGTCTGTACCCAAACTAAATTATGCATCATTAGCAAATGTCCAATCTATGCAAATACTCCACTGAGAGCATTGTGCTGTAGCAGGCCTTTTCTCTCATGCTTTCTGGTGGGCTGCTTGTCACTTCTGTTGGGCACAGCCGAGCTCCTTGGTGTACACCCTCCTTCCCATGTCCTCTGCTCCCTTCTGCCTCGTGAGGGTGAGCAGAAGTGACAAGCTGTTCTGAAATGGGCATGTTGCACCTTTAAAGTCTTCGGGATCATTTTGATGTCGTGTTATCTGCCTTACTTCATGGAGGATGGTGCTTCTGCAGCCATCCAAGGTATTGTTTTTGCAACTGCAGCAACGTTGTTAAACTGTTTACAGTACTCTTCCTGCACCAGTTGGGAATAAGGCTTGGAGAAGGAACTAAGACTGGCCTGTTGGCTGTGGAACTGCTGGGGGAGATCAGTTAAAGTGTAGTTGCCCTTGGAGTTGATGGGTGATGCAAAGCTGTTCCTGGTTTGGGGGGAGCATGGCTGGCAACTTGAAACAAGAGGCAGCCAGGTCTGTGATGTTGAGCAGCCAGGGTCATGGTGTCACCAGTGGCTGGCTGCAGGGCCTCGGGCAAGTCATGTAACTGCCCTCTGCCTCAGCCTCTTCCTTGTGCAATGAGGACAGTGCCACTTGTCTCTGTGAAATGCTTTGAGTACACAGTCCTTGGCGTTAGTGACCTGAGCTAGCTGGGCAGAGTCAGTCTGGATTGTAAGGCAAAAACAAGAAGCAAAGCATGTGTTTAATAAACCCTGCAGATTTCCAATGGCATAGGTTTTAATTGTACACTGGTTTTTCCGTGACGTGTTTTGGAACCAACGTCAAGGTTTTTATAAGCGTTACCTGGAGTTGATACTCATGGACAGGGCTGAACTTTTAACTTTCTTGCGTCTCGTCTTGGTGTATTTCCTCTGTTCTAAAAGTCGGGTTCTGTGTCTGCACTGAGAAATGCAAATGAAACTGGATATTTATGTAGTCGTGTACATAGTCGAAGTGTGTGTGTTCTTGGAACTAGTTTAAAAATCCCACACCATGCTTTTGGTGGTGTGCAAGCTGGCCAAAATTTGGTTCATTATGCAGTGTACACTTTCTCAAACTAAATGCAGTTTCTACTTTTTTCTTAAAAACAGGAGATTTTTTTCATATGATCTTTTTTCAGCAAAATCCAGGGTCTGTTTTTTGCAGTACCGTAGTTACAGTAGCTGGTGTTTCTTGCTGTGTAGCTTTGTGTCCTTCCACTTGCTTACTGAACCGGAGCGATCGGTCTGGCCCTTGCTGTGGAGTTGTAGTTGCAGTTGGGTTTCACACAGAGCAGTGTGGTGGGAAGGGATGAGCAAACCTCGAGCCTGGTTCGTTACCCAAGTCATAGTCGGCATTGGCATCATTAGGAAGCCCAGGAATTGTAGGAGAACCACAGGTTGTCTCCTGACTGCTTCTGGTTTGACACGCTTGGGGAGCTGGGCAGTGGGCTTGGAGATGGCAAAATAAAAGAACCCCAGTTTTCCAAGAGTGTATGTATGGGTATTAAAGGATTTTATTTAACTATGAAACATGGGGAGAAAAAAAAATGTGCTTACATTGAGCAATGTGAAGATGTTAGTTACAGGTACAGTACTTCCAAAGGAAGAGCATCTCCAAAACCCCCAAACAAAGAGTAAATATGAATTTGTATTTTTTGAAGAATGTAAAATGTGAAATAATGGTGTTTGCTTAATTGCTCATTTTGTATGAAGTTAATATTGTACTTTGAAATATCTGCAAAGAAGTGGAAATTAACTTTTTTTGGAATTGAAAGCAATATTAATACTAATGGAATCCTAATTAAATGCTTATTTAAACATTGTGTTATAATAGTCTTTCCTAAGAGTATTTATGAGTTCCTGGGGAGATGCATGAGGATCCTTCCCCTGCCCCCTTAGGAACTGGTCAGGATGTGAAGGTATTTCCTCCCCACCTGCAATGCCCTTCATGGACTCCATACCCTCAGGAGTTGGAGCAGAAGTTGTTAATCTTAAAATTACTCTTCATTTATGTGGAGGGGAGAGCCTTGCTTGGTCCCCTTCAAGCAAACACCCAAGTACGTGCCATGAGCTGGCAGGAGCCAGCCGACACTGTAGGGGCAGGGAGAAAGGCAACTCTTCCTTTGGTTAACATGAGAGATTCAGCATTCCAGCTCTGACAGTTTTAGGTACCAAGTGCTCCCCACCGAGGAGGAGCTTTGGGGGAAGATAGCGTCAATAAGGAAAACAGACGGAGTTGGCCCCCTGTAGCTTGTGCATGTCTCGGATGATGCATCTCTGACTTTGGGATTGTAGGGAGCGTCAGGACTCTGCCCACAACACAGAGCGTTTGTTCCTCTCCAGCCTCCCCAACAGTGAAGTGGATCATTCCCAAGCGCCGACCCTGTGAACAGTCAAGGGAAGAGTCGATGCTTGGACAAACCGGTGCCATCTGTTCAAGGCCACAGTTCTTCCAGTAAGCGGCAGCCCTGGGTGGATGCACGAGCTCCAGACCGAGCCCATCCCGCTTCGCTTTGAAGGGTGAGTTCAGGGGGAGATAAGGCTCCAAGGCCGCGGCTGGGGGAAGCGCCTGCCGTGGCTCCTCGCTATCGCTCCGGCTCTCCCGGCACCAGGGAAGGGGCAGGCGGGCGGGCTCCTCCAGCCGGGCCCGGGCCCGGGCCCTGCGCTTGGCTCGGCAGCGATCGGAGCAGGGCAGGGGGAGCGTCCCCCGGGCCGAGGGGTGCCCGGAGCGCGGCCAGGAGCGCGCCCATCTCCGCCGTGAGCTCCTCGCAGGCGGCGATCCGGGCCCGCAGCCGCCGCTGCCGGGTCTCCAGCAGGCCCCGCAGCTGCACCTGCGGCAGACACAGCGGTCACCGGCGGTGCCCGGGGCCGCCCTTCGCTCCCACCCCGGCCCCCGCCGCGCTCCCTCACCGCCTCGTCCGGCCGCCCGTCCCGCGTCGCCATGGCAACGGCCCGCCCCGGTACGTCCCCGGATGTGCGTCAGCGCGCTCCCCGGTGCGAGCCGGAAGCGGGCCGTGCATGCGGCGGGCGGCGCGGGTCGCGCTGGCGCTGGCCGGGGACGGAGCGGCGGGGCCGGGGCCGGGGCCGGAGCCGGGCCTGGGCTTTGCCCGCAGCGCTCGCGTCCTCCTGCCGGCCGGCGGCGCGGCACAGCCCCAGCAGCGAGGTACGGCCCGGGGGAGGCGGCGGGGACCGGGTGGGGTGGGCCGGGCACCGCTGATCCCCCCCCCTTCCGTTGGTGTCTCGCAGGCTGGACGGAGGCGGTGTCGGCCGCCGCCGGTGCGCTGCGGGCGGGCGGGCTGGTGGCGGTGCCGACGGACACGGTGTACGGCGTGGCGTGCCTGGCGCAGGACTCCGGCGCCGTGCGGAGCATCTACAGCCTGAAGGGGCGGAACGGGAGGAAGCCGCTCGCCATCTGCCTCGGGGACGTGGAGCGGCTCTACAGGTGGGTGAGCAGCTCCGCTGGGGCTCCGGAGCCCATGCGAGCCCGAGGCCACGGGGAAGGGCTGCTTCGCCCCCGGGGTGAAGCCGCATCCTCCCGCTGTGCAGGTACTGCCGTGTCAATGTGCCGGACGAGCTGCTGCGGGACCTGCTGCCTGGACCTGTGACCCTGGTCTTGCAGCGTTCGGAAGAGCTAAATAAAGACTTGAATCCCTTCACATCGGTAGGTCCTGGCGGCAGGAGGTGGAGCTGGTTTCCAGGGACGGTGTTTTGTGCTTCTGCTGCAGTAGTTTTTACTCTTACCTGTCTGTTCCCTCTACTTATCAGCGACGGGTGTTTTCCCAAAGCTGGTCCCTGCGCTGTTGTGCTCCCTGTGATTTACTGACCATGGCATAACGCAGTGTTAGAAGCTGATTTACATCTTGTATCGTTGCTGGTTCAGTGCTTGTTGATGCTCCAGAGCATCAGCTTTAAGTCAAGAGGGTGTTAGGCAGCACAAGATTAAAACTGATTCCTGTGTGTAAAACCATGTTCTCTTCTTCCTCGTAGCTGGTTGGTGTTCGTATTCCAAACCACCCCTTTATCAGGGAGTTGGCACGAGCTTGCTCTGGACCACTGGCTCTAACAAGTGCTAACATCAGCTCGCAGGCCAGCACGCTGACGGTGTCGGTAAGGTTGGTTTTGTCACTTAAGGGGTGTTTCTGTGGTATTTTGTCAGAGCCCCGGGCTCCCACAGTTGGAAACCAGCTTGTGCCAAGCTTGTGACCCTGGTGGTGGTACAGCACCAGGCAGGTGCCCTGTCCTTGCCCCCACTCCTGACAGACTTCTGGCTTGCTTTGTGCACCCTTAGACAGCGGTGCAGGTAAGAAGGCTTCAACCAGAGAATCCTCATGGCTTCCCTACACATCTGAGATAAATCTGTTCTCAGAAAACAAACTGGGATGTGTTCATGACAAAGGTGTGAGCTGACCAGAGGGGGCAAGGGGAGAGACCATTTTCCCTCAACACCAGAACGTGCAGCAGTGAAAACACCCCCTGGCCTGTTTGCCACGTCTCTTTTATCTTCCTCCCAGGAATTCCAAGACCTGTGGCCTCAGTTGTCCTTAATCATCGATGGAGGCCCAATTGGGGACGTTCAGAGCCCGGAGTGTCGCTTGGGGTCAACTGTGGTTGATTTATCTGTGTCAGGGAAGTTCAGCATCATTCGGCCTGGCTGGTGAGCTTGTTGTGCTGCATGTATCTGAGCTGCTGCTTCACTTGAAATGAAATGAAGCTTTCAGCTTAGAGTGGGTCTGGTTTGCTTCTTTTCCCATAGCAGATGAATCTTCACGTTAACACTGCTTAGGTTAATGACCAGCCCACTCAGCAATCCTAAAAGAGCGCTCCAAATCCCCAGCATAGGACAACCCTTTCTAGAAGCTTCCAGTGAAACACTAATTTCTGGAGTTCATGTTCTCCCTGATTCAAAATGCAGTTCTGCATCTGGCTGATTGCATCCCCCCACCACAAAATGCAGCCTAACCCTTAAAAAACCCTGTTTTCTGATGGTTCTCTTTTACCCCGCAGTGCACTGACACCTACGGTTGAAATCCTGACACAGAAGTATGGCTTGGTACCAGAATCATCTTAAGACTTCAGACTCGGAGGAGCTGGTGAGGCTGGGCACCGTGTGCCTGTGCATTCAGGAAATGGGCATTCATGGCCTTGTTTAATAAGGTCGATGGGTTCTGTCAGGGTTAATAAAGTAAAGATAGAAAACTGGAGCAGGAGTTGGTGGGTATCTGTTAATTAGTATCAGAACCCCAGCCTGGTTTGGGTTGAAGAGACCCCAAAGCTCCTCCAGCTCCAACCCCTGCCACGGGCAGGGACCCCTTCCACTGGAGCAGCTTGCTCCAAGCCCCTGTGTCCAACCTGGCCTTGAACACTGCCAGGGATGGGGCAGCCACAGCTTCTCTGGGCACCCTGTGCCAGCGCCTCAGCACCCTCCCAGGGAAGAGCTTCTGCCTAAGAGCTCATCTCAGTCTCCCCTCGGGCAGGTTAAAGCCGTTCCCCTTGGCCTGTCCCTGCAGGCCCTTTTCCAAAGCCCCTCTCTGTATTTCTTGTAGGCCTCTTGTAGATGTTGGAAGACTTTTACAGGTTCTCCAGAGCCTTCTCTTCTCCAGGCTGAGCAAGCCCAGCTCTCAGCCTTTCTCCATAGCAGAAGTGCTCCAGCCCTTGGATCATCTTCATACATCTGCTGTAGTCTGAGAAACCAACCCAGACACGAGTGCCGACCTCCTCGTGCTGCTGTATCATTCCCAAATACCTGTCTGTTTTGTTAACATGGTTAGACCTTTGAAATACAACTATTTGCACATTAGACTGTTCTCAGGATGAGGGTGTGTGTGCGACCCACCCTCCCCTTAACCACTTATTCCATGTCTTGGTTTATTGTATCTGCACTGAAAGAAAAGCAAAGATGGAGAAGATGGTTTTGAGCTTTTACAGTGTTAGAGCCCTGGTGTTCTCTGGCTGTTTCTTTCTGTTCTAAATGTAATCAAAACCTGCTACTGAGATAAAGCTATAAATGCTTTTGAAAACTAAAGTATTCCAATGGTCCTTGTCTAGGCAAGGGCTCAGAAGGACCTGGCTTCCTCCTAATACCAAGAGTGAAACAAGCTCTTGGTGTGCTGGTCTTCGTTTTTTAGATGTGGCTTCTCTCTCTTGACTTTGTTCTGGAAACAGTGCTAAGCTGGGGAGTAAATAGGGAACAGATGGAAGTGTCTCCTGGTATTTATCCTTCATTGCAAAAGTAAATGGAGCTACTGTTAATTTGAAACAACTCGGATGATTTTCTTATAAATGCTGATTTTTGGACATTGTTGTCCATCACTTCCAGGTGCTCAGTGAGAACAGTAACTCTGTTCTGTGAAGATGATCTCTGGTCTGACCCTGAGAGCAGCCTGCAGAGCTTTCATAGTACTTCCCACTGGCTCTGCTCCGAGTGTTGTGGCTGTTCAGAGGCAAATGTAGCCTGGGCTGACGCTGGGGATAAACATCAGGTTGTTGGAGGCACAGAAAGTCTTCATTTGCTTTCCAGTGCTGGTGGCATGAGCCAAAAGAGAAACCATTGGATGCAGAGTACATGTACGTACCATTGTATCCCATGGAGAGGACATCATGCTTGTGTCCCTCCACCGCCAGCAGCGCTATGAAAGTAGTGTTGCAGAGAGAGTGGGAGTCTTGATGGCCCGGGATTCAGGTGGTGTCTCCAGAAACCACCTGCAGGGAAGGAGGTGGTGGGGCTCAATGGCACTCCTTTTTGATGGGTGGTTTTAAATGGCTCTGTTGAGCCCATCATCCCACAAGCAGCTGCTGTCATTTTCTTCTCAAATAGCTTCCTTTGGGCTACTTGCAGAGGTCAGGCTGCTGAGGGTGGGTGCTCCAGGGAGGTGGGAGTTGCTTTGTCTTTCCCTATCTAGTGTCAAGGACAAGGACACTGCCCAGCCATCCACAGCCCAGTGAATTTGCTGTTGCTGTTCTGCCTCTAGAAGCTGTCTCTGCGAATTTATGAGTGGGCAAATGAAGGAGCTTGGAGGCAGGGTGGGACCATCCAAATAGCAACCATTTGGAAGCAGTGAGTGTGAGGGGAGAGGTGCAACAGCCAGGTCTAACCGGGTGAGCTGGTTGCATGGCTCAGGCTGGGTCTTCATGCTTGCAGTGTGATGTGTGCTCAGCAGCATGGCAAGGATCAGTTTTTACTGGAGTCCCATCCCTGAGCCCACCTGACTCACCTGCCCCGTTGTGCAGAAGGCCCCAGGAGTTCCAAATACCACTGCACCAGGACCCTTCTCACTACTGCATCGCTGGAGATGATGCTCATCCTGAACAACTGCATCCCCTGATGCCTCCATCCATACAGGCTTGTTCTGGGAGCTGAGCAGGACCCAGCCTTTTGCTTCCAGGGTGGCCCAGCCACGGGAGCCGTGTCTGCCACCACTAGAGCGAGCTCCGGCCACTGCAGGGAGCCTTGGAGCCAGCACTGCACCGGCTCTATGGCTCCTTAAAGGCATTAATAAGTGAGTGCTGGCCTGGGGCTGCGCTAACATGGTCTTGCTGTGGTGCAGAAGGTGGTTTGTGTGCTGAGCTGCCTGCTGCAGGCAGGGGGACAGGACCTGGTGCCCCTCCTGCCTGTGCCTGGCCCTGGCAAAGCCCACACGGGGCTGATTTTCCCCAGTGCCATGCAGTGGTTATGGATCTATTGCTCGTGTCTCAGTCGCTGCTAATGGACTGTAATGCACGTGGGGCTGACCCCCAGAATGATGTCTTCACAGAAATCGCCTGTCTCTGGAGCTTGTGCTGTAAAAGGCCAGGAGCACCAGGCTGGGTGAGTTACTGTCATCTGCAAAGTGTGTGCGTGAGGGGTCTCTGGGTGCTTTCCTTTCTCTGAGCCCTTGCTCTTGCCATGTAACCTGCAGCATAGAGGTGTGACTTGATGGGGATGGGGGGGTTCCAGCCTGGAGCCTGGCAGGCAGACTGGGTGCTCTGCTCTCCCCAGCCTGATGCTGAAGGTGAGCCAGAACCAGCTGCCCTGATGCCTGGCTTCGCCCACACCTGGGCACAGATGTAAAGGCTGCTTGGGGACTCACAGAAACTTCTCATCATAGTGAGCAATTTCCCTGCCGATTCTGCTCCCTCTCTGGATCTGCATGGCGAGCCTCCCTCCATCCTGTTCCTCAGCTCATCAGCTATTCATTGATCTTCACCAGGCTCCTCCAGGCCTCATTCATCACTCTCACGCCTGCCATCCACTTTCCAAATGTTTCCTATTTTTCCAGTGATGTATTTCCCTGCTCAGACAAGCTAATCTGGCCCCATCAATAACCAGGGTGCAGCGTGCTCCTCACCTCTGCACTGCCACAGGCACAGGGACGCTGGGTCAGGGGCCTCCCAGGAGCTGCTGCCCTGGCTGCTGGGGCTCTACTGCAGCAGCTCATCCTTTCCATGGGGATTTGGAAGGTGAAAGTGGTGCCCTCACAGCCAGGACATGTCTCTGCTTCTGGCTCATCCCATGCTGCTGGTGCTCAGCATCCCTGCGAGCGGCAGCTTTATTTGTGCCACCGGCACCAAGAGGATGAGCCACACTCAGGAGTGGGTGAAGCAGCTGCTGGCCTTGTTCCCATGCAGGAAATGCAGGCACTGTAAATCCCTTTATTTCCTCTGGCTTCTGGGTGGCTGCAGGTCACTGTAGCTGCCAGCGTGATGTACTCAGCACCAGCCAAAATGACCAGCCTTTACATCAGCATTTGGGCACTGTCAGCACCTCCGGAACACATCAGCATGGAGCAAACCCAGGCTTTGTTGCTCCTTCAGGTTCCTGGTGCTTTCCAAAGCTGCCATCCTGCGTGACTTTGTGCCAGGAGCTGTGCGCGCAGCGTGCGAGGGATGTGGCATGGGCAGCAGCAGCCGTGGTGAGTGCCTGGGATGCTGCAGGCTGTGTCTGCTGAGATGTGGCGTGTAAATACAGCCCTGGACATGCTGAAGGGACAAACAGATCCTGCTGGAGTGGAGAGCTGGAAACACTTCCATCAGCCAGTTCATGGATGAGGGTGACCCTTGCGGAAACCATATTGGCATGAGCGCTCCGAGCAGGAACCACTTGGCTTGCATTCTAATTAGTGCTTGCTCTCTACATAAAAATGCATCTTTAGAACCTCATTAACGGAGCCAGTTCAAACTGATCGAGATGATTCCAACGAGCAGGACCAGACCAGGCTGTGTGGGCATCAGGAGTGAAGCTGCTGAGTGTCCGACCCTTCCCATCCCTGTGGAAGCCACTGGGGCAAAGTGCTGCCAGGGTTTGTGTTGCGTTGGGAAGCCTTGGGTGAGTGATGGGGTCTGCTTCTCACTGTGATCTTATCGATGGATGGCTCTTGAGTGCTTCCCTGCGTCCACAACGCCATTCCTGCTGCAGCTGGTGCCTAAAAGCTTGTGGCTTTCCATACCCATGTGTACTTTGTGCAACTGTTCCATGGCAGAGGTGGTTGTGCTGAGAGCATTTCATAGCTGCAGCAATGAGTGTAACAGGAGAGGTCTGTGGAGCAGCACATGGGAAGGGGCATCCATGAGAGGACCAGTGCTTGGCTGGGGCTTTTCTGCCTCTCCAACACATCTCTGAGCCAGGGCTTTGTTGTCTCAAGAGGAATCTGCTCTAAAATGCTCCTTGGAATTTACCTCTGGAGATTATAGGGGCCTACTGCAAAACCCAGCTTCCTTTTACACGCTGTGCATGCAGATCCTCTTCTAGTGTCCTCCAGCTCTGGAGCTGGCGGGATGCCTGGCACCCTTCCACAGGATGCTGGTTTAAGGAATTAGCCTGCAGAAGCAGAGACAGACGGGACCTTGAGGCCATCTGGAGCACCCGCTTCCCACACAGCATCTCCCGACTCACTCCAGACACATTTGTCAGATCCGCTCTCAGCTCCCTTATGTGGAGGAGATTCCACCTGGATGCTGCTCATCTTCATCCCGTTTTCCAGTGCCTTAAAGGACGTTTACCGGGAGTGGGATTTTTGAGGGGACCTCGCTCTTATCCCCTCCCTTTACCAAAGAGGCTGTGATTTAGCCTTTTTGGGATTGATACCTTGGAGATGGCTGCAGGCTGAATCCCTAGGGAGAGAGCAGGGATGTGCCATGGGGTGCGAGAGGCTGGGTGCTGGAGCGATGAGCAGCTCGTGCTTGCAGGGAGGATGGCTCCAGAGATCAAGGGGTTTTCACAGCGGGG